CAAAAATCAAGCGGGGTGGCCATTTTGGTGTCGTTACAGGAATGTGGAGTTTTTCTGCATATAACCGTGCACAGGGTAACCAACTCTGGAAAGCCAGAGGTCAAATTTAGACTTGCGTTCTTCGAACGCAATAAGTGATTTAAGCGGGAAAAATGTATACGCTACGATAAAGAACATATGCTTCTTTCTTTTTTTTGGTTCTCGCCCCATTTTTCGCGCGGGCAAAACACCGAAAATCCCGTTCGCCGGTCATTCTTTGCTCTCCAACCCCGCGTAAAAGTTTGCTACGCAGGCTAGTTTTCTCATTATGGCAGCTATCTTGTTGAGTTAGACGCATTTTAAATTCTCTCAGTCTCTCTAAACACGACTTCTTTCTTTGTTGTACTCCTTCCTAGTCAAGTTAACATTAGAGTGTAACATTGCTTCTCCTATTTCCTGCACCTAAGCTTACATATCACGGAGCATCAACACTCTAAATACGGTTTTCAGGCCTTTTTTATCGAATAGTTTTTCCTGCATCCATCTCGATTCGACGAGAAACAACAAATATACAGAAAACGCCGATAAATTGCCTTTGTTTCCGTGAGCCTGGCCACATTTCGATCGTACGCGACCTTTACTTTGTATCCCTTTTAATAAATATTTTAAGTACATGTTGTTAACTGATTACAAGAAATGAAAAATTTCAAGTTTGTTAATTGTTTATTGGAACTTCCTGTCTAAGCTTAAAGCTCTCATCACTTATTTCTACTCCAGACAAGGCAGATCAATTTTCTAGACGGGAGTTTATTTTCAGTAAATAACGTGATATCAGGGTGAAAAACCAAACGAGTCTTGATAACAAACTGAGAGAGTGTATCTGTCATATTTTAAATAGAAACAACCTCTCCTTCTTCCCTTCATCAACCTTCAGCACAGCAATGTTGTTAAAACACTCAGTGCAATTATATTCCAATTTCTTAGAGCCGAGACTTTTCATTAGGTAGGTAATATCTTCTTATACATGTTTCTTTGTGTGAAAAATAAAACAGAGAGAACCTTATTTCGAAGCTCTGTCATCGCGAATTCTACACTTAAGCTGACATGTGTTGATGTACAAGCTTGTCTATGAAAGATGGCAGGGGTCAACACAGCCCAAATTGAGGTGGTTTTTTTTTTTTCTTTTACGAAATTGCGCCAAAGGAATATATCACGAACTGACANTCTGGAAAGCCAGAGGTCAAATTTAGACTTGCGTTCTTCGAACGCAATAAGTGATTTAAGCGGGAAAAATATATATGTTACGATAAAGAACATATTTGGTAATAGTTACCTTGTAGATTACTAAATGCTTCTTTCTTTTTTAGGTTCTCGTCCCATTTTTCGCGCGGATAAAACACCGAAAATCCCGTTCGCCGGTCATTCTTTGCTCTCCAACCCCACGTAAAAGTTTGCTACGCAGGCTAGTTTTCTCATTAAGGCAGCTATCTTGTTGAGTTAGACGCATTTTAAATTCTCTCAGTCTCTCTAAACACGGCTTCTTTCTTTGTTGTACTCCTTCCTAGTCAAGTTAACATTAGAGTGTAACATTGCTTCTCCTATTTTCTGCACCTAAGCTTACATATCACGGAGCATCAACACTCTAAATACGGTTTTCAGGCTTTTTTTATCGAATAGTTTTTCCTGCATCCATCTCGATTCGACGAGAAACAACTAATATACAGAAACCGCCGATAAATTGCCTTTGTTTCCGTGAGCCTGGCCACATTTCGATCGTACGCGACCTTTACTTTGTATCCCTTTTAATAAATATTTTAAGTACATGTTGTTAACTGATTACAAGAAATGAAAAATTTCAAGTTTGTTAATTGTTTATTGGAACTTCCTGTCTAAGCTTAAAGCTCTCATCACTTATTTCTACTCCAGACAAGGCAGATCAATTTTCTAGACGGGAGTTTATTTTCAGTAAATAACGTGATATCAGGGTGAAAAACCAAACGAGTCTTGATAACAAACTGAGAGAGTGTATCTGTCATATTTTAAATAGAAACAACCTCTCCTTCTTCCCTTCATCAACCTTCAGCACAGCAATGTTGTTAAAACACTCAGTGCAATTATATTCCAATTTCTTAGAGCCGAGACTTTTCATTAGGTAGGTAATATCTTCTTATACATGTTTCTTTGTGTGAAAAATAAAACAGAGAGAACCTTATTTCGAAGCTCTGTCATCGCGAATTCTACACTTAAGCTGACATGTGTTGATGTACAAGCTTGTCTATGAAAGATGGCAGGGGTCAACACAGCCCAAATTGAGGTGGTTTT